TTGCATTTGTAACACAACTTATTTAGTAGATGATGCATTCAAAAACGTTTATACGGATACATCAAGGAAAAGACAGAAATTGTATTGAGGTTCAGCTGTTTTGTGGGATGGGATTATGTGGGGAGGGGTTTATGTAGAGTCATTCCTTAACCAACTTTAATCTAAATCTGATCTACATGTAAACTGCTCAGTCCCAGAAATTAAAAGCTTTGGTATGAAATGCAGGTAGTGACAGATTTTATTTTCCTGGGCTCCAAGATCACCACAGACAGGGACTGCAGCCAAGAAATTAAAACCCGCATGCTCCTTGGGAGGAAAGCTATGGCAAATCTAGACAGTATACTAAAAAGCAGAGACATCACCCTGCCAACAAAAGTGTGTATAGTCAAGGCTATGGTTTTCCCAGTTGCAATGTATGGCTGTGAAAGCTGGACCATAAGGAAGGCTGAGCACCGAAGAATTGAGGCCTTTGAATTGTGGTGTGAGTCCCTTGGACTGCAAGGGGATCAAACCGGTCAGTCCTAGAGGAGATCAACCCTGACTGCTCTTTAGAAGGCCAGATACTGAAGATGAAAGTCAAATACTTTGGTCACCTAATGAGAAGAAAGGACTCCCTGGAGAAGAGCCTAATGCTGGGAACAAGTGACGACAAAAGAAGAAGGGGACGGCAGAGAATGAGGTGGCTAGATGGAGTCACTGAAGCAGTCGGTGTGAGCTTTGGTGGACTCCAGGGGATGGTGGAGGACAGGATGGCCTGGAGGAATATTGTCCATGGGGTCGCGAGGGGTCGGACACAACTTCACGACTAACAACAACAACAACAACAACAACAAATCAGTATTTTTAACAAACTGAATCTATTGCTAAATCTGAATAATAATCGCCTTCTTCGGGTCTTCCATTTTGAATATGTGGAAGGACTTTTGTGAATCAGCGATGTCTTGTCCGCATGAAGGGTTTTAACCCACTACTGAAAATGCCTCCTTTTCACCGGACTTTTTCCGAGGCTTGTACAGTATTTCCTTTCCCTCGTATTTTCTATTAACTAACCACCAGGTGGCGCTGTACTATACCTGCAGTGTATCCTATTTTGGCTTTTCATAGCGCTTTTGTTATGTCGCAATTTAAAATATAACACCAGATTTCCCTTGCTCTAAAGAAACCAGTGCAAACCAGTGCTTGGAAATCTTGGGAGATCCTTGGAGGACAACAACATCATGCAAAGGCCCCACAAACGTGAAGGAAGAATCATGAGCACACAATAAATGCCTCATGTAGAGAAGTCCAGGGTGGGTGCTTTGACTATGCTCAGAAGGGGGTGCCTGCGAGCACACCGATAAGCATGTGGGACCCCTCCACCTACACGCCTCACACATTGACTGGGCGAGTATCTTGGGGTGGGCTTAGCACCTTGTTATATAACAGCGCCTTCTTGTGCTTGTGCAGAACACCTGCCAAGGGCCAGGATGGGGCTCCGTCCATCTGCCCCGGTGGGTTTAAGAAGTTCTTGAAGAACTTTAGGTTGATCTGGCAGAGAGAATGGTTCTGTCATGAAAATATCCCACTTTTCAGAAATGACTACTTTGTGGTCTTAACACTGAAGAAGGCAATATTTTTAATTATTTGTGTGTGAGAGTGTGTGTGGGGGTCATTTTCTCCAAAGGAGGTAATTAGATTTATTTCCAGCCTTTGTGAAAACTTAAGGCCTTTTTCACATGTTGCTTTTATCATGTGCTCAAGGTTTCTTATTCAGGTGCTTTGGATGACACCAGGATTCTCTGGTTTTGCTTTTGCTTTTAAGACTATTTTCCCAGGATTTTCAGAGTGGGGAAAATGGGTGCTTTTAAAAGTGAAAGAACATTGCAGACAAGCAAGAGCCACATGAGCAGATTGAATTAGGGCTGGATGAGAAAAGGGCAAAGCAGCAAAACAAAACATCAGAGTTACAGAATAGAGGAGTATGTACTATTAGCCAAGCTGCCAGCAGCCTCTTTGAGCTTGCTTTTCCAGGGGCTGCCGGGAATCTGGAGCCACTGAAAATCAAATTAATGCCAAGGGACTGAAAGCCAGCAAAGTGGGGAAGTGTAGTCCCTGATAAGGAGGGACCCTTTCCCCATTTCCTGGCACTTGTGTCCAGTAAAGTATTCTGGGGTTTTGGTGTACATAGGAACATGTCATCCACTTTACGTTTCATAGATTCCTAGAATAGTAGGGTTGGAAGGGGCCAAGGGAGCCAGTGGGTCCAACCCCCTGCTGGTGCAGGATGCCAGGTCACACCATCCCACTCAAATGACTGTCCAGTTTTGCCTTGTGTGTCCCCAGTGTAGGGGAGCGCATGACCTCTCTTGGCCACTGGTTCCATTGTTGTATTGTTCTGACAGTGAGGAAACATTTCCTGGTGTATCCTGAATCTGATGTGCTACAGTTCAAGTTTGTTGTTTCGTGTCCTAAACTTGGGAATGAGTAAAAAGAGATCTTTTCCTTCCTTGTGACAGCTCTGAGGTAGTTGTGCTATCATATCCCCTCAGTCTTGAGGCTGAACATGCCCAGATCTCTGAGCCTCTCATTGTAGGGCTTAATTTCCAAACCCTGGATCATCTTCATATAAAACCCTTTCTAGTTTTTCCACATCTTTTAGAACCTGGTGCCCAGAACTGAACACAGTATTCTAGGTGAGGTCTGACAAGTGCTGCATAAAGGGGAACCAGTACCTCACTTGTTCTAGAAGTGATGCTTCTATTTATGCATCCCAAAATAGTGTTTGCCCATTTTGTGGCTGCACTGCATTGCTGGCTCCAAAGTCGTCTTCTTTTTCAGTGCTGTTGGGCCAAGTATCCCCCATCTTGTATCTATGCATTTGTTTTCCTCCACCACCCCCCACCCCCAAGGTGGAGAACTCAGCATTTGTCCCTGTTGAATTTCATTCTGTTGCTTTCCACCCAATGAGATTAGGTTAGTTTGGTATGACTTATCCTGAAGAAATCCATGTTGGATTCTGTTCAGCACTGCAATTTCTTCAAGGTGCTTGCAGACTGATTATTAATAATTTGCTCCAGTATTTTCCCAGGTATTGTTAGACTGACTGATCTATAGTTCCCTGGTTCATCATGTTTTCCTTTCTTGTAAAAGGGGACAACGTCAGCTCTTCTCCAGTTGTTTGGCACTTTCCCAGTTTTCCAAGATTTCTTGAAGATTATATATAGTGGTTAGGAAAGTTCTTCTGCCATTTCCTTTATGACTCCAGGATGGATCTTGTCAGGATCTGGAGATTTGATTGCACTGAGTTCATCAAGGTCTCCTTGACTATTTGTCTGTTGAACTTAGGCTGTCATCCAGTCCTTTCGTCTTGTTAACTTTTAAGTTAACTTTTATGAACTGACCTTAAAAGGCAAATCAACCTTTTCAGTTCTATTTTTAGTCTGCAGCCAGGCAGATGAAATCCAGAAGGCAGCCAAACAGTATCACAGTTGCCAGGTCATGCAAGGCCAGAACATACATGGGGGACCTTTAATGGAGTCTTCAGTGGTGCTGGAGACTCTGTGCCTTCTCCGTCTTGTACAGTAATGCAATAATGGTGTGTGCTTGAAATGTGTTTCCTGAGAGATCTTGACCAGTGCTTTACAGAATGCAGTAGTGTTGCTGAGAGTGTTCTAACATGGGATTCCTCCATACAGGAGTGGTTTATTCCAGAGAGTATTTAAGTCTGTTCACACTTAAAACCATGCCATTTCATTGAAGCTTCTCAGCCGGAAGCAGAATAAATAAAAGCTTAGCTACTTTTGTTTGCTTTTATGTGATCTGAAGAGGTCTCTGCAAATTATTTAAGTAGGAGGAAAATTAAGCTGATACCAATCTGTTGAGCATGGATGGATAATACAGAAATATCCACAATTGCAAAAGTATTACGTATTATATTCTACACTATTATCTTACTGAAATTACTGTATAGGTAACTAGCAAGATGCCCCATATTAAAATAGGAGATGGCCTTTAGTTGAGGCTGTGTCTGGGAAAGAGGGCAAGTTTGCCCCATCCATATATCCTACTGTGATGAGTGAATTAGTACCAGATCAAGAGCCCATATACGGTCTGAAGGTAACATGTCATGGGGAGAGCATTTCTCTGGGGTGCTGCTAGGAAGTGCGGTACAATACAGATGCAGAATGGAATTGTCTTCCCCTTCTCACTTCTTTGCAGCTTTGTGCTGCTCCATAACTGAAGACATTGGCTGATCTGATCGCCATCCCCCAGGAAAGAGTGATGAGTGAGTAAAGAGTGAAGCATTAGCTTGCAAGATATGGAAGGTTGGCAGTCTCAAAGCAGATTGTGATTTGCTTGGGCTTTGTTTTTTGGTCATTTTGTTTCTTGGAGTGTGCAATACGTTTTGCAACTCTGCAGTTCTCCCTTCCTTGAACCCTTAAAGCCTGCTTCCCACACTTGGACAAATAACACAGCAAGAAGCTGTCATTGGGATTGTGCATTCTGACTCATTGTGATGTATCTCGGTCCAGTCTGGTCTCCACTTGAGGCATGCTATATTCTGAGGTATAGATGGGTTGGTGGGCACAATTCTTGCTTCTATTGAAAATGACCCAGAATTGTGTTCTTAAGCAATTTCTTCCTGTAAGCATTTTACCTTTGTATGGTCTCTGTATACATATTGAGAGTAAGTGCCATTGAATTCAATGTTTTCAAGCAAACTCTCATAAGAGTAGGTGCATGTAAAGCACTTAAAGCCATTGATGTATGTTGGGTTCTGTGCATCCACCTCCATATGAGACTGTGACCACTAGGTAATACTGCAGGATGCTGATCATGATGCAACAAAATGGAAGGAACTGCAGAAGTGCCAAACATGGTCTTTTAACAGTCACAAAATAAACTGCAGAAACAGATGTTTCTAGTTTTCTGAGTGCCTGGATACTTGATAGAAAAGTCACATTACTGTTTTTGTGTTGTTACCAGTGTTTTATTTCCACCCATGTTCATTGCAACACGTCTTACAGTTTCATGGGTTTTATAGTTGCATTGGGAGTTGTGGGGGAGGTAGAAGATGATGTCTGCGGTGTCTGGCTGCCCTTTCTGCCCCTTTTACTGACAAAACGGGATGCCTGTAAGAAAAGAATAGGATATATTTTTGCTTGTGTCCATTTTAAAGCCAAGTCACCCAACAATCAGTAGGTGTTGTGTGATTCTGTGATGCACCTCTGTGTACAAGATTCTGCATATTAAAATATGAAGCCTGCAGACAGGATCCTGAAGCGCTAGGTAGATACGGGACAGCTCCTTTTCTTTGTCATCTGGCATCTCATTGTTCTGGCATACCCTCTAATAAACTCCCTTGCTTGCTTTTGGTCCAGATCTGGGATGAGTTTTGACAACTGACTATGAATTGGTTTAAGGGAGTTGACAGGAAAGAAGCCCAGTGGAAGGCTACAAGCACAGGGTTCAAAGTCACTGTGCCCCAGAATGGCTGGAAAAAGCCACCAGACTTCCCCAATAACTTATGCTAAAGGCAAGAGCAAGCCTTCCTATTTTTTGCAGACTTTGCCTGCCTTGGAGGAAAGGTCAGTGGCATGTCCTCTTCTCCTCTCCATGGCTAATCTTAAGATTTCTCCTCATATTAACTGAACAGATACATGACAAGGAGTCCTGCAGACAGCCTCTGATCTGAGAGTTAAGGAGAGTAACAATAAAACAAGAAACCTTCTCTTCATTCCTGCAGAAGCCAGTATGACATCCCTGTAATGTTGTGGTAACATTGGCACATTTGGTAGTAGCAGCCATCCCAATCACTTCCTTGCCCCCACACTGCTTGTAGAAATGTATGTAGACTTTGAGAGATAAGGAATACAGAAAACATTTTAGAGATTTGGGAGTCAGTACGATTTCCCTTTTCTTACTTATCCCAAGCTTAACCAAACTATCCACAGGATCCACGCAGAACCACTTGACTGAAATTCAGTCCAATCCACCTTAAAGTTCTAAAGGTGCATTATTTGGATTTAAGGAGCCATAATTCTGCTGGCTGAAAGAAACTTTTAGTACTCCAACCTGTGGCTCATACTCAGGTTTAACATTCATGCTGCATTAAAAAAGGTTAGTGAACTTACTGATTGATTAATAATTCTGCTTCGCTTGGTGAAGCTTTCTTCCATGGAGTTATCTTGTTCGCTTGTAGGAATAAGTTTCAGTTTTGGAGGAGTTACCACCTTTTACAATTCGGAAAAATCAAGAATTACGTGACAAGCCACAACATTTTATGAAATCCAGACAAAGGAAAAATCATATGATTGGCTTCTTGACATCAAGAAGACAGACGTTACTCAAACATACTACTGTGCAAGTTCTTTGGAATATTTATCATGTTAAGTATTGTAACAATCTCTTAATGCCCAGTGAAGGCCTGGCTGGAATAGGATTTAAGCTTGAACTTAACTCCAAATACTTCCCACATAGGGCCTTAGCCTTAACATGCACTCATGTATTGTACTGTAGGGAAATATACTTCTACTTTGCTTGAGCAGCTGAGGCTTGGAAATAAATGCTATGGTAGAGGTGAGATTCCAGCCAAGATCAGCTCTGTATCTGCAATGCCTTTTCTCAGATTCTCCTCAAGCTCAAAGATAGAAATTTCAGCAATGGAAGAATAAATATTCACCTTCCATGATGCAAAGGACTGAGGACCTAATGACACTTTCAACGTGAGGTTGAAAGGGTGGTTTATAGTCGCTCTTTGTGAATGAATACATACGAGGCTATTTGGCTGGCCTTTGCTAAAATGTATGTATAATTCTTAGGTAGTGGTGCACAGACATTTCATTGGTGTGTACTGATTCAAATCTTTTCTTTTCCTCTTTGATTTTGTTCTGTTGCAATACTGTTTATCATAAAAAAGGTTCTCCTCAGCTAGTGTCAGCAAGATAGAAGATATCCGAATGGTTAAATGGGTTACATACTGTAAGTAACCTGTGTGTGCGCGTGCATTTGTTCAAAGGACCTTGACTGGTCTTGGGGAAGAAGGCCACAGAAACTAATGCATGAACATTTTACTAATTCACCTACCCCTGCTGAGCTGTTTAAGTCCTTTGTAATATATCTATAGCCTGAAAAAGGGTGGGCGGATAGAAATTTTTCGGGTTTGTAAAAACCTTTCCTTTCCAGCCAGCAAAGTGGCTATTTACAAACCTGACCTTTTTGACATTAAGCCACCATTACCTAGAAGCAAACTGGTTATTCCACTTGAATAATTTTGCAGCTTTTAGAACTATTTATTATATTTCTATATTCCCCAAAATTCCACAATGTCCTTAAGACAGCTTCTTTCATCATTGATCCACTGGTATAGGATATTTTCCCTTAAAGCCTCAGAACTTCAATTGAACTGTACACTAAAAAATTCCCCAGCAGCTAGGAAAGCTTCCCTGCCACCATTTCGAAGGCCTGCTTCTTCCAGCACAGAGAGGCTGCAAGTTGTGCAGGTTGGCTTTGTTTGCTTGTCTTCCCTTTAAAACCACGGATTCTCGCAGTCATTAGTGAGGAGGATAGAACATTGCTCATTCTCCCTCTGCTGTTTTTATTACTCTCTGTCAGCATCTCTTGTCTTCCTTATTTGTAGCTCAGTCCTGTTCCTTTTGACTCAAAAGTAATACTATGGAGTTTTCTGTATGAGGCATTTAATGTGCACTCCCAATCCCTCTCATGGACGTTTGTGGGGCCTTTGCATAGAGCTGTTGTCCTCCTGGGCCTTTTCTGAGTTTTCTAGCCTTTTTTTTGCAGGATTTTAGAATGAGCAAAATCTGGTATTTTAATTTGCAACAAACCGGAGCAAAAGTCTTCTTAAAAGAGGAAATTCCACTACACTATACCACAGTTATACCACAGCATCAGCTTCGGATTAGTTAGAAGAATATCAAAAGACAGAGAAATGCAAACTTCTGGAAAAAATCTGTGTAAAGGTTGCATTTTCCCTCTGCAATGAGCATGGAAGATGAAGCCTCCATGCAACCATGAGTTAAACCCCTCATGCAGAGAAGCCTTAACTGAGTTCCCATAAGACAACTGGTAAGGTTATGAAGAATTAAATCCTGTTGCAGGCAGTCACCTGAGCAAACATGCATGTAATATCTTTTAAAGCGGCAAGCCTATTCTGTAAGCTCCATTAAATCCAGTGTGACTTACCTTTGAGCAAATTTGAATTTAATACAATGCATAGAATTGCTGCCCATTTTATCTAGGCCAGACATACCTTTTGCTTTTAGCCTGTCCTCATAGCTTTGGACTTCCACACAAAGAATAGCTTGTTGTAGCAAAACACTGTACTCCAAATAGTAGTGTTGAACAGAGTGGTATTATTACTAATGGAGAGCTGGTAAATGATGGGGGTGGCCTGCATTTTGTGCCCACAGCATCACCTTGATGGCTCATTTGCAACTGATTATTCATTATATCCTCTACATCTTTCTCTAGGACAGGGGTGCACACACTTCAGTCCTGAGGGCCTCACGTGATGCCGGGCTGGGGAGCAGAATCGCATGTGCACACATGAGCACCCCTCCTGCACTGATCCTGGCAGGGAAGGCTTTTTCTTTGCCGCTGCATCAGTAGCAAAACACTGATCTGCTTCAAGACTTCCAAAGTACTGAAGGTGGGGGGATTTTTGTGACACACGTGGTCTGGAAGTGTGTCAGCCAGAATTAAGGTCTGGAAGTGTAACCGCCATGGACCAGAGGTCCACTTCTCTAGAAGGTTGTATGAAGCAGTTAACTTCTGTCATATATATTTGAATTTATATGCACTAATATGCATTTCCTATGAGTTAAAATTGTATCTTTTAGTTTTAAATTCTGTTTGGTGGCAGTATGTCCAGTTGTGAGCCAATGTGGTGTGGCAGTTACAGGACTTTCCTGGGGATTCAGGACTGGGCAATCTGGGTTCTAGTCCCCATTCATTGGTGACTTTGGACCTCGTCACTCTCACTCAGCCTAACCCACCTCACAGAGTTGTTTAAAACAACTAAGGATAAAACAGAGCTACATATGCCCCCTTGGGTTCCTCACAAGTGGGAACAAAGGTAGGATATAAATGCAGTGTGACAATAAAGAATTCAATGCCTTGTTTGCTGATCTTTCTCTCAGTTTTTTCTACAGAACGCAACAGCCAGACTGGCTGGGGAGGATGTGAGCTGTAGTCCAGTGGGGTGGCTGCATTTCTTTCAGTGAAGGATGCCTCTTCCGCATGCCTTGTGTGAAGGGCAACGGAAGGACTGCAGGCCCTGCCACCAAGGTAACACGTGCTGCTAGTCCCACCTGCAATAGCCTTCTGCTACTTGTGGATGTTTTCAGTGGAGATCTGCCCGCAGAGACCTCTGCATGTGTGGGCTTTCCCCATGTTCCAGAATCCTGGTCATGCAGCGTTCTCGAAGACAGGGGGAGCCTGCAGGCAAAATGGCAGTGCACTGCAGATCTCCACCCCTCCTGCACAGACACTGCCTGCAGAGGCAGTGGCACCCAGCAGTCTTGGGGCCGAGACCAGAGATTCAGCCCCTGCATTTGGTGCTTGATGCCACTTTACACCATGCTGGTGTGTACAGTGCTACTTTGACTTTTTTCAACCAAAGAAATGAAAAAAGACCGTTGAGAAACAGAGGCCCCACTACTGATTCTTGCCGAATGCCACAGGCTGTCTCAACATTGCGTGTGATGGATATGTTTAAGGGGAGGCAGAGAAGGAGTTTAAGGAGATAATATAAAAGTACAGCATTGCTAAATTGGTACTTCCAAACAGACTATGCCAGCTTCACAGAAGGTATAAAAACATGCTTATTTTCATTCAAATAAAACTTTTTTCCTAATTCAGCTCCAGCAGCATTCTCAATCCAGGGAAAAGGAGTCACATGCTACACTAACAGCTCTTCATTTAATATAGAGTATTTCCACATTTGTGTGAGCAAATCCCCATTAATGAAGATTTGAAATACAGAATGGGAATTGTCTGCAGTGTGGCGCAGTTTGCTCAACAGAATCGTTTCCTCTAAAACAGCAGAGATTTTATCCAGTGGAGCCTTTGCATGTGCCCATTAAGTTCACATAATGCTTTGCTTGTGGGAAGGCTGCTGGTTACAGGAAAGCCCCAGACAACAGCAGGGCTGACCCTATGGGCAGACAGAAGCCTCTGTTGCGGAAGGGACCAACTGTGGGGCACCTAAGGTCAGAGATGCCTGCACTGTGCATGGCCCAGCCTGCCCCAGGTGCAGTGGAGGAGGTCGTCCTCTTGCCGGTGTCAAAGTACTGCTAGTCTGGGTGCCTTTTATGCATGGGCCTGGGCAGCAGGCCCCATCTTGTCATCTTCCAGGCATGAAGTAGGATGTTTGGGCAGGGGCTGAGATATTGCAAAGCATGACAAGGTTAGCCTCCTATCTATTTTTCTGCCTGATTTTAATTTTACAAAATGTCGACCTATTTAAATGGTTAAAAACTCCTGTGCCAGATCTTCAGTGAAATGCTAAATTGTCATATTAAAATTACTGGCTTCAAAATCTGCTTGGTTATATTTCAAGCCAAATGTGTAGTAGTGTTATAAAATCAAAGAAGAAACTAATAAAGGGGAGAAGGATGTCTTTAACTGGTCAGCCTTGCTTGTCAGGTCTTCTGTTACATAAACTAGAGATGATGTGTTGCCATGGGAATTAGAATTGTTATATAGTTGCTTCTGGATACAGAATGTTCTTGGTTCTGGAACTGTTCTGAATGGCAAACACCCATTAGGGAAGGGGACAGACCTCCCCCCCCGCCTTTTCATTCACCAGCTAAGGATGAATCCAGGTATCCGTATGTGAAGAGAGTCTGTAGTATGGCACCAGACACAGAGAAAGAGCTGGGGACTGGTTCCCCCCTCCCCTCAATGTGACAATCCACCATGGCTTATTTATCTAAGAGGGCTGTCTCAACCCTCAGACCACATTCCCACTTCCCTAGTTGCTGATGTTTGGACAACACAACAAACCAGGTCAGCCCCTGGTCAGATACTGAATATTGCAAATGGCCACCTGCATGCACCAGACCCCATGCTGTGGTGATTGTGCAGAAACATGCAGGGAGAGCTGAGCTTGGGCTCTGTATGCTTCTTAGGATGCTATCTGTTTCCCTGGAGATTTGATAGGGGAGTTGAGGACTTGGAATGTCTGTTGGGGTGTTTAAGCTGTGGTTCCACTTATGTTCAGCCTGCATATTTGTAAATAAGGACAAATATCACAAAACACGAATAAATCCCCAGTGACTTAATTCAAATGATTTCCTTCTAAAGGGAATCAGCCCGAGATACATGCTTGCACTATAAAACCTCTTACTGCTCAGAGAAGGGGCATGAGTGTAACGATATGAAATGCATCAGATTTATTTTTAATGAGAAAACCTACATTTTATGGTTTCCAAGTTAATATGAACAAGAAACTGCTATTATAACAATGCCATTTCCCACTCGGATAACTACCTAGAACAGATAAAGCATGTTCCTGTTTCCATTTACACTCCTTTTAAACTCCCCATGATGCTAACTGAGATATTACTGATTTGTAACTGTACAGTGGGGAGTAACATAATCAAAAACCTTGAAAGGTTTATGGCTTCTCCGACAGAAAGCGTGACACAATATTCCTCAAGCCAGTATAATGAAAACAGAAGGCTGTCAGATGTCCCAAATTGCCTGGAGGAGAATTATCAGTTTCTTGACATCCTTGCAGTCCAGTTGATAACAGTCTCCAGTGTCAGTGAAGAATGGATTTAAGGCTTTATGGCAGTACCTCTGTGAAGCATCTGGGAACCCATAGGGTTACGACTCTGGCAAACTAGGCTCAGGCTCCAGAATGGGGCAGCAGCGTCCATCCTAGTCAGCACATGTACCGATGTAGTGCAGATGCAGGGCCTCAGCTAGATCATCAGTTCATGGTTCCTGAAAACCCCTCTGTTTGCCCATAACTGGCATACGTCTCTGTCACATTCAACATTAGGATGTTGGTACGTGAAACATCTCTCAGGACAATCCCACATGCTTCACCTGAATGGGAACCAACCCCCAGAAGAGCACCAGAATACCTTTTGTCTTTGCCTGACTTCAGCAGGGAAGAAAGAAGAATGGTAGCATCACAAATAGGGGAATTTTTGACTGAAAGGAAGACAGGTCCAGAGAGTGGAGTCATGACAGGGCCAGGGTTAGGGAAGGTAGAAAAAGGCGACCATAAATGATGATGATAATAGCATAACCATCACTTTTCCATGCTCAGTATAGTTCAGATAAAGTATTTTAACAATATTTACAGCAAATCTATACAGGTAGATCCATAAATCTTGTGGGAGGTATATGGAGATTTTCTCCAGTATCCAATTCCCACCCAAATCTCCAGAGTTGGAGAACCCACAGATCAGCTTGGGTGGCAACCCAGGAGGCTACAAGGGGGATTTGATGAAACTCCCTTCCCTCCCTTTTACAGGAGCAGGAACCCCTTCTGGACTGCAACCCCTTTTGTTAATGGGAGAACTGCTCTGGATCCAAGCCAGTGCACATCATATCACCATCACCACCACCACCTTACTCCTAACTAGTAGCCCTGCTAGTGCTACTACAGGTTGAAGGCTGAGAGTTGTAGCTTCCCATAAAATGTCTTAGTTCAGGGCTAAAGAACTTCTTTCAGCCCAAGAACTACATTCCATTTCATAGAAACTCTTGGTAACCAAATTCCAGATTTGGGCTGGCCCAAAGGCAAATAAGGTAGGCCATTAAAAAATAAAAATAACATTTATTATTTTTAAATAATCTTAGTGCCAGTAGCTAAGACTTAGAAGAGATGCACCTGCCCTTTAGAATGAAGAAAGAAATGCATTAAAGTTGGGAAACCACCAAATGATTAGCAATGGACATCTGGAGAAATCTGAGGGCTGCATGTCAGCGCTGTGCCTGAAGTTTTGCACCCCCAATTTAGTTCAGAGGCAAGGTCAGAACCAGCGACTTCCTTAGTCACAGTTCAGTCACCAAAAGAATAATGAGGAAAGATTCTGTGATGGTACAATCAAGTCTTCTGAGGATGGGATTGGCAACAACAAACATGGAGGTGAGAGAAGAACACAGCATAGGTTTGGGTGCAACACAACGTTGGGTCTCCTCAGTGGTGGCAAGCTAGGGCAGCCTTCCCCAACCTACCACCTTCCAGATGTGTTGACTCACAACTTTCATCCTTGTCAGCCCAGTGGCCATGGCCCTCCTCCTGGCAAGCCTTTGGATATACCCAAGTGCCTCACAGTTTCCTACCAATTTGTCAAAATCCAATAAATGATCTCCACCCATATTGGGCGATTCAGTACAAAACATGTGGTGATCATGTGGTTGAGCAGGACTGAGCTAAGGAATGGTAGGTACACCCAAGATGAAATCTACCACGGATGGTACAATTCAGTACATGCCTATTCACAAGTTCAGTGGAGCCTGTTCCTACTTTATTATGTATACAATAATAGCCTAAGGCTGGGATATTATGTACCTTCCTGGGCATACACCTATAGAGTCCAATGGGATTTACTGTGGAGAAAATCTGAATAGCTTGTGGTGTAAATTTAACCTAATATCTCATGCAAAGGGAGAGTAGCTACTCTGGTATTGCGTAGTGTGAATGCATGTGGGCTTAGAGCCCACATTTAAGGCTCAATGCCTTAGTCATGATTAGTCATGAGTATCAAATGTCACTAGCCATGACAGGTGAGCTGAAATGAATGTCACACAGTTGATATATTAGAAAGTGCATGGAGCTGGGCAGGGCTGGGCAGGGTGATCTGTATAATTGCAGTAATCCAAACTGAGCAAAAAACAAAAAAGAAATCAGAACTGTGATGTAAATGGTAGTCATTCACAACCTGAAAGTAATTTTCAAAGTTGCTTAATTTTAATGTTTCTTTATGAAACTTCCATTAAGCTAAACACTCACCCTGTATATAGGTATAGACCCAAATACAACACCAATATCTTTGTTTCCAGATTTGAAGCTTTCCAGAGGGTGTTGGTTAATCTATAAAACAGAAACAGTATAATCAATATAGCTTCAATTCCAGAAAAACAAATTACTTCTTCCCCAGTGTGCAGTATTTAGCACAATAATCTATTGGTAATGCAACACTTTACAGTACAGCCAATATTGATCTCTTTGTGGTTATTTGCCTCTACAAATGGAAAAACAGCTTTTTTATAGTCTTCCAAACCTCCATTCCCGAGGACTATTTTAAAAGTGCAAAATTACTTACCATTCAATAATCATTGTGCTTAATGATGTATTTGAATCAATGGTCCTGACAGTGGACTGCTAGCTCTTACGGCAACATTTAGAATTATGGAAATAGAGAACCCAAAAGCTCACCCACTCAAGACAAAGTCCTCCTTCTTTTTGCTTCCTGTTGTCTCTGAACTGTGACTATTTGACTTTGACTAACCAGTCCTCATTAGATAGTCTCTCTCTTTCTGGACCTGTACAAGCCTGCCACTGAACTCTCGGTCCACTATTGACCTTCCAAAATCCTGCCAAAAAGCCTTTTTTTATTTATATGGATGGTTGGCCTGTAAAGATAATTTGTTGTCTCTACTCTTCTTCATCTTAACATGATTTTTAATTAACTACTTGCTATTTTATATGCTATTTTATTTTAGATTGTTTTATACTGTTTGTTATATTTCCTTGTTCTTTTACTAGGTTTTTTTTGGGGGGTGGGGGTTGTTAGGTGCCTGAGGCATTTTTAGTGGAATGGCAGGTACATAAACAAGACACTCCGAAGTTTTCTCAGGGTACCATTTGGTTTAGTAGACCAGCAGCACTGAAATGGTTTAGCCTTCAGTCAAGGTCTTCTGGATTCTGGGGAAGAGTAAGGTAGAGAGCTATCATAAACAGGTAACTTCAGGAAATCATGTGAATCGGATTGAACAGCATTTTTCCATATTAAATATCTTGAATGCTGTAACTGAAAAAGCTTTACATGACATGGAAGCCACAGGAAAACAGCCTTTATTGATTTTTTAAAGCTGTTAATAAAGCACACCATCAAATCTTTTTCAGAAAAAACACTTTCAAAAATTCCATTTTGTCTGGATGAACACACACAAACACAAATTATACCCACAACTTTGCAAGATGGAGAATGCCTGTGGTAGCTCCTTGAATAAACACTGTTCTCTAAGGAGAGACAATTGTCTTTGCATGTCAGAAAAAGGTGACTAAGTCTTTTTCACATACTGCCAAAGTAAGGTTATGAAAGTCTTCATGCAGAGCTGCTATGTGACTAGTTTGCCTTATATCTCGCATTTGTCATCCCTTCCTGAAAAAGCCTCCTTCAGGTGTCAATTTGAGGGCTGAAAATGTAATTTTCCTAATTTGTGGGCTCTTGGCACCCAAAGGAGGACTTGGAGTCTATGCATCAGGGGTCACTCCAATTCAGGGAAACCCCTCACAGACCTTGTAGGCCTGAAGACACAGCTCTCCTCTCAACTTCAGGTTCCTCGGATCCCCATTTCCACAGCTTCTCCTGTCCCTTGGCTATGCAGGAGAATGAGGCTACCTGTGGATCCTTTCAGGGCTGAGACTAGCATCTGATCAAAGCTGAAACTGTGAGCTCTGGGCCTGCCAGCCTTTGAACAGCCTCAGTCCCTTGCCATGACAAGGCCTCCCAATGGGTATTCCCTTGTGGTGACCCTGCTCTCCTGGACTGGACAGTGCTTACCTGGTCATGTCCCCTCTGTGTGTCACATTGGAATTGCCTCCTCCCGTTTGGCTTGGACATCAAGCCAAGTCAGGACAGGAAGGGCACAGCGGGATGCTGCTTCCCTTTCTTTCCCATGTGCACTGCCCCTCCAATTCCATTCCCTGTCTTTCTATGCGTAGTGACAACATCTGAAGCCAAGCACTATTTGGTTGAACCTGGTTGAGTGCATTCTCCACTGGACAGGAGTCACGGGCGTTATTTTATCTGGCTCCCCAACCACATGAAGAGATGCCCAAGCCGATGCAATGTCCAGCCCATGCCCTTGCTTGTGAGGCTGGAGGCTGAGAGGGAAAGGCCAGCCAGTGCCTGAAGGTCTCTCAGGAAGCCTTCGCTGCCCTGAACAATGCACCTCTGTGAGCAGGCTCTTCCATGACACATCTGCTTTGCACATCTTTTGCATGGAAGGCTTGGGAGCCTCAGCTCTAGGTGAAGCATGGCCACTGAGAGGGAGCTGCAGGGATTACAATCGCTCCTACACACTTTTCATTAAGACCAGGAACAAGAAGGCAAGTTCAGACTTCCAGTATGTTCCACACGTAGCCCTTTCGTTTTGGCAGATCAGGTAATAAAAGTCACAACATCTGGGGAAGGCAGGGGAGAACTTCATCAACATGAATACACCATGGATGAAGAATCTTGCCTGATACCCTGTTTAAAGGATCTATAACTCTGCTTGTAGCATTCAATAGGGTATTAGCAACAATCTGCCACTAATTTTGTTGATAACTATTCATTTTAACTAATCATTCATTCATTTAACCAAGATGATTTTTTAATTATCCAAAAAAGGTTAAAATTAACACGTTAGGTGGAAAAACGTTTTATATTGGTGTGCCAAAACACAGAGTTTATACTTGGATCATTAAATAAGTCATTTCTAAAGTTATTTCAGTTTTAGGCTGCAAGCCCCCCCCCTCCCCCCGCCCAGGTAATTGCATAGAGCCAGGTAATAATGCACTCTGCATGTTACATCCAGAGTGAGAATAAGGAGGCAAACAGAAGCTGTTCTAGCATATTCCATATGCAGAGTGGCCTGTAATATGGATTCTCAGAAGTTTAGATCCATGTTAAAGCAAAACCAAGAACAAATCTGTAGACAGTCTTGTGTATACATACGGCTTTGGAGCACTGTATTTCCACTGTACAATAAAATAGGCTGAAAACATGTATTTCCATGTGCCAGTAACATGGGTGTTGCTATTTTGTGCATATGTGGATATTAAAAATGCAGAACAGAAAGCAGAGATTTTTAAATTGCACATACATTAGCTCATTTGTCTTTGCTTTGAAATTACAAATATGGAAAATGAAAAACACACTATCTCGTGTGGAATGCTCTTATTTTTGGTATTCTATCAGTACAATTCAGAAAAGCAGTTATAAAGTAACAACGGAATCTTAATACCTTAGGTGAAGCCAGGGCTTTGAAAAATTTGAAATCCTGATCAACTTCAAATGGACCAGGCTTTTTCAAAGCTAAAGAGCTTTTGGTTAAAGTCTTCCACCTGTAAAAAGATGGAGGGGGTTGTTATCTTTGTAAAAGAAAATAGATGTAAAATGTCTTGATGTGAGCTATGAATAAAATAGCATTTCAATTCCAGCAATGCAATCAAGAATAAAAAGGGCTGAAAGTACTGCAGCTTTGCCAATAGATCAGTGCATCCAATCCAAGTCTACTCAGAAATTACTAGAAAGTAAGACTCACAGGACACAGTGGGTCTTATCTTGGAGTAAAGGTGCAGAGAAGCATGTCTATTCCCCAGTGTAAGGAGAGCATAAGACCAAGGTGCCACCTAGCCCAGCATTCTGCTCACACAGTGGTCACCCAGCTGTACAAGCAAGACCTGCCCTGTAACAGCACCCTCCCACCCCTGTTCCACAGCAACTGCACATATCGCCTCTGATCCCAAAGGCAGCGTAGAGCCAGCAGGGCTAGTAGCCACTGGTAGCCTTATCCTCCATGATTTCATCCAACCCCCTTTTAAAGCTGTTGCAAAGCAGTGGCCATCACTGCATGTAGCCGAAGCGAATTCTGTCATTTAAATATGCACCATATAAAGAAATGCTTCCTTTTTTCTCTCCTGAATCTTCCAGCAAGTGGCTTCAAGGGGTGACTCTGTTTACTAGTGTTATGAGAAAAGGAGAAAAATGTCTGCCTCTCTACCTTCTCCACACCATACGTAGTTAATTCCATGTACCTCTATCTTGGCCCCTGTTACCTGACTTTATTCTAAGCCAGACAATCTCAAAGGTTATAACCTTTCCTCATAGGTGAATTGCTCCAGACCCTTGATCTTTTGGGTTGCTTTTATACACTTTTTCTAACTCTACAATATCCATTTTTAAATGTGGTGACCAGAACTATAAAAATTACCCTATGTGTGGTTGCACCAAAAATTTGTGTAAGGGCAATAACATACTGGCAGTTTTATTTTCAATTCTCCTAATTATGCCCAACATGATTTGGTTGGCCTGCTAGCTCAGATCTCAGCTTATACCTGAAGTTGCAAAAGGCTTATATTCTTATCGGAGCCAGGTGAAAACCTTTTTATTCAATCGTCATTTTAAAAATCAGTAATGTTATAAGTTAACAGTCGCTTTTTTTTGGATCGTATTTTACTGATTATTTTTATTCTATTTATTGTACTGTCTTATTGATTGTTTTTATCACTTGTTGGTTTTAATGTTGTAAGCCATCCTGAGACGTCGTAAAGGACTGCTTATAAATATTTTAAATAAATACATTCCATTAGATTGGCTTACATTGAGCTGCATTTGCCACTTTGAGGCCATTTCCCCAACTTTTGAAGTAGTGGAAGAGGGTCATCAAACTTTGCTGGGACAAATTCACTCACTACAAAATGTAGCTCGCAAAGGGAAAACTGGGGCAGGGGGAAAGTGGTCCGGTCGATCTGAGCAAAACATTGTTTGCATGATGGAGCAATAAAGGTACAGTCCTAGGCATGTTTAGACTGAAAAAAGTTGTAGCTGGCAATGACAAGGCACGCTGGGAGTTGTGGGCCCTTTTCTGTCTAAATATGAATAAAAACACACTTAATGAAGGATAGCAAAAGCACTGTGGGACACAAACAGAACAAGGAGGGTCAACAAAGATTGCAGCACTTCAGTTATGGGGGGAAAGGCAGAAAAGGGTCTTACTTAACTCCCCGCCCCAAGCTCTGCACTGGATCCCCTTCGATTTTAGCCAAATTATGTCCTCATAGCCTTCTGAAATAGTAGTTGTGAGGGGTGTTACAGGCAGGACGAGCCCCCTATCTTTTCTAATACCCCTCACAACTACTGTTGGAGCACTGATGGGCTGGGTCACGACCTGTCCGAATATCATCAGAAGACGGAGTGAAATCTATCTGTGCAGCCTGCACTTCAACACGAATAAGACCATGTTCACGTGACTTCCCTGACTTGAAAAACAATCCTTTTCAATCCTTTCCATGTCATGGGAACAACAAACTTGCATTGTAACACAGAATACATGCTCTGCCTCACCTCTCCCTGTCAAGGACCAGAGGATATTCAAATTTCTGCTTTTTCTCCATATATTTGCTGTCATCTTTTATTGTGAAGGGAATTTCATTTACATCACATGGCAAAATTATATCAGTGGATTCAGAAATTTCAAACAATCTGCGTTGACCAAAATAACCAAAGTAATGTCCATTAGGTGAATACCAGAGCCTAGGTGTGAAAGGAACCCAAGAGAGAAATATTAAACATGCATCCACTTTTAATCAGAAACAAAGTTGGTTGGGAAACCTTCTAAGTATGTCCTGAAGAATGCTAACCAAATACATCAAAGTATTCTAATTCTTTGAAGCAAGTACCTTTTAACATGATATACTAAGAGCCAGGGCGTATGGCTATTTTGCTTGTGGCATTTGCTTGCTTTATATCCTGCTTTTCTTCCACAAAAATGTGCTCAAGGCAGCTAAGAATAATCTCTGGATTCAAAGCACCGCCACCCACATCTTCAACCCTACAGCTGGCCGTGTCTGCATTTTCCATGTTGCTTCTCAGCCAACATGGAGGGGGCGTACATGGGCATGCAAACTATGACAGGGTGACACACGGGAGGGGTTTGTGAAATGATGCACACAGTAGGCCAAACCCCAGGTCAAGGCCTGCAACTGACTGGAACTAACCTGGCAGAACTATCCGTAGAAGCTGTCACCACTAGGCCTTTTTCATCATCATAGAACAGGTTCACTATTTTGGCAGAATGGGCTTTCCAGCAGATATGTTGCTTTACATGCTGCAGAAAAAGAAGAATGCAGGCAATTCTTTGGTGGGTTCAAGGAAACTTTTATATCCACACAATTTGTGCCTCAGGCAGAGGCCAGGCAGAACTGTAGAGAATCAGCCCAACACAGTGAAGAAACTAAAGGACGTGTGCTCACTTGGTAGATGAGGAAATCTTGCCCGCACTACACACTGTGAGCTGCCCTGGAATTGTTGTTTGAAAGAGATAAGGAAACGTTCCAAATAAAAAGCAGTATGTCCAAAATAAAGATTGGTTCAGTTCCCTGGGCTGGAAATAAATCTTTTGCAGAAACTGAGACTTGAGAACTTGGTCTCCAAATTACAACTTCTGAGTGGCAAAGCTAAGAGTTTGGAGTGGAAAAATGGGAAGAACTTTATCTTTGCAACCAGCTGTTTTCCCTCCCACATCCAGAGCCCTACTGCAGGAAAGCAGCCAGACGGTGATGTTTAAGAGGGAAAGCAGCAGGGCAGTGGAGTTCAAGTGCCACTCTTGGCTGCTGCTTCCTGGCTTCAAATCAAAGCCTCCAAGTCCGCAAAAGACACCAGGTCCTTGTAGCTTTAGGCACAGCCACAGAGAATGGCTACAGTGCTTTATTTATTTATTTAAGTTAGAACTTTTCTAGATCCCCCTTACCAAATGTAAAAAATTTAAAACACAGTGTCCTAAAATTCCACTAATAATAAAATCCCAGTGAAAACAGTCAGGTCTTAAAACATTGGGAAAATAAAAAGGTTTCAGACCAGGGCCAGAGATGCAAAGCCACCCTTTCTCAGAAGGGGCAGGGCTTCCCATGTGGCCAAGCCAAGCTGGACAGCCCTTTGCTCTTTCAACGAAGAAGCAGAGGGAAACAGTCTTGCTTCTGCCAGAGCTTTGACCACCCCTCCCACATTTTATTTATGTTGACTCAATGCCATCACAGAATGGATTGTTTTGTAGGGAGAGCTGGCTTTTGATTTAGCTGACCTGTCCCGACACAAGCATGCTTCAATGACGAAGTTTCTCATCTTCCAGCTTAACACACTTTATAAATTTTGTAATATATGCTAAGACCAGCTTTGAACATGCACCTCTGACATGATAGATTTTTAAGCTTCAGCAAAACAAGACATCATTCTATGGTGGCTTTACTAGTATCAATAACTGTGTTGCACAGGTTCTCTCTCTTAAAAAAAAACCCTGGCAATTTGTGCAAGAGGAGAGAAAAGGGGGTAAAGGAATAAAGGAAGCAATTTACAGCTTACTTTCCACTGAGAAATCTCAGGCTGGGAGTTCTTCAGTATAACTGTCAGGGCTCATTGATATGAAAGGACTGAATCAGCTGCACTGGTCTTAGAAAAGAAGCAGCGGCAGGCAGAGATTTTGAAGGATGGCTGGCATTTTTACCAGAAGCCTGAAAGCCCAGAACAAATCCACCCCCCACTCCCCAAAATAAGTAACTCCAGAGAAATCGATTCTGGAGCTTGGATTGAGAGGACTCTTTCCTAGGAGCTGGTGACAATCTCATATTGATCCAATGTCTTTATAAAACAAGGACCATGCCTAAATGCAACAGTAAAAGAAAATGTAGTTGTTCTAACTGTGAAATATAAATCATCTGGATGTAGGACAATTTAGACCCATTTCACAGAAAACTCTGAGCACACTTTGTGAACTATATTAGGCCTTCACTATTCTTTATCTTGGATAAAATCCATTTACTGTGGATTTTAAATGGAAATTTTGATTTTGAATTCAAGAAAGTAAAGAACATTGTTAAAATGGCATATGTGACATAACAGGTGAATGCAATTCCCATGTAATAAATATAAATAAGCAGTTAATTTATTATTTTAGTACATTTTATACCACCCAATAGCCAGAGTTCTTCAGGCAGTTCTTAACAAATAATTTAAACATGCAATACTGTATAAAATATTGTATACAATTTAAAGAATCAAGGCTATAGTGCAAAATATAAGTGGGAACCAGCATAAGATCTAGCAGCAGTACAGATATTTAAAATATAAGCCAACATTTAAAACAGAATGAAAGGGAAATTCTCAGGAAAACAAAAAGTTCTCCATCTGGGACAACGTTGGGGCCAGGCAAGCCTCTCTAGGAGGTTCATTCCATGTCTTGGGTGCCACCACAGAAAAGCCCTCTTCTTCATAGCTACCCACCTGATTTAAAATACTGTTTTCCAGTTTCTCACCTTGTTGGCATCTAGTGGATCTTCTAAGAATGACCCAACATTCCATCGGATAACATGCCCCTCTGTAAGAGAAATGCTCTCATTTAAATATTAAGCATTGGGCCAGAATTGACACAGAGAGCTATTTTCATGGTTGGTGCTTTATAATTAGATTGTTCTGGCTACAGAAGATCCAAGAAAAGGCTCCTTCTGTAGCTGCAACCACTGAGCATCCATTCCTGAACATCTCTTTAGTGCTTAGATCCATGTTTGCTCATTTATTTTGTACCCTACCATTTTGCTGAAATCTGGCACTTAATGGCAATTAAAATTTATTAAAACAGATATATTAAAAATAACCAAATCAATAAAATTAGGAAAAAATTTAAACCAGCACCCAACCCAACAGACACACTTACAGGTCAAAGTCCTTCTGGAATAATGAGGCCTTTGCTTGCTGGTAAAAGGAGAGCAGAGGGGAAGCATGTCTAGACTTCTTTGGGATGAAGTTCCAGAGGCTGGGATTGGCCACCAAAAAAGCATCCCTTGGGTGGTCACTAAGTGCATCTCTGAAGGCACCTCTTGAAAGAAAGGCCTCTCTAGATCTTAAAAACTGGGCAGGCTCATGGGAGAGAAGGTAGCGTGATTCCAAGCCATATAAAGCTTTTTGGTCATAATCCACACTTTGGATTTGTTCAAATTTGACAAAAAGGCAAGAAACAACAAAAGGGGAAAGTTTTTAAAGTTCACTTCTTAGCCTATATAGGGAGACAAGTTCATAAATTATGAGTCTTTGCATACAAATGGAAACCCATTGAATGGTGGGTAATCAATCAGGCAAGCAAATTTAACTTTTGAAGGTCACAGTTACAAGGTCACAATACACGTATGCTTTTCATTAGGAATATATTTCTTACTACCTGACTTTTATGAAGCTTTTATAATCTGGCCAGCAGGGCCCTCAAACAGGTTCAAAACATTAAATGGCTGTCACAGTAAAAGTAATGCTAACATAATACTATACATTAAAATCACTGCAATTTAGACTACTATTCTATACACATATCCCTAAAACTGGTTCCATGGAATTCAAACCTGCTTCTGAGAAGACTTATGAGGAATTGTGGTGTTACTGGCTGGGTTCATACAACATGACCAGAAACCTTATGTGATTACCATGGCGCTTTTTAAAAAAAACCCATGATCTATCTGACCGACATCAAGTAGTTTCCAGGCCATGATGGTTTACATCTTCCCTGATCACTCTTCCTGCTATTGGAATGTATCCCATCAACCACCATGCCTGAAATTGAATCCCAAAATGCATTGCTCCATACCTATGTTCCCTGCTTCTTTTTAGGATATAGAGATTGGGTGGCCAGAGTGGCTCTTGTGATTGTTACTCTTTCCAGAGCAGTCTGTGGTAGTGGCATACCAGGAACATAGAAAGCATGATCCTGAGTTCAGACAACATGACAAGCTGTTGTGGTACAGGGGAAAATGTAGAACAAACCATTGTTTCTTCAAATGATTTCTAAAGAACCAAGTTTCCATGCTGAAATATAATAACTAGGTTCACATCACAACAATGGCAAAGAAACACCATGACTTGCCATGTTGCCTGAATCCAGCCGCTGTACTACGTATCAGTATATTCTATTATTCCTTCTGAGCTAACCAATCTAATTATTTACCAAAAGGTTCCTTGTGGTTTCAGCTGTAATTTGGCCTGATATGAATAATAAGAGCTGGATAGTTTTCAGTGTTTGTTTTCAAAATTCTTTTCAAAAATCCTTACAAATTGTTCTGGTACCATGGCTGAGAAATGATTGCTTACCATTATTAGCAGCAAAAAGCATCTTAGCAGAAACGTCAGTGCACAGGGCTGTCAAAGGAATTGGAGGATGTTTTGTGAAAGGCAAAATTTCTTTCAGTAGATCTCCCTTCACAAACAAAAAGCATAATCATACTTTCTTTTAACAAAGCAGAATTTCCTAACAGTCAAGGCTTGGGGTACTAGATGAGTCACAATGATCTCCTTTATTATACCATCTTTTCATGTTTAAAAGCAATTAAATCTTAACTCATTTCACTGCCAGGATGTACCTTGCCTTATTGTGTAATCTTCACATTTGCTTGGAAATAAAGATGAATCCTTGGTAAGAAGGCCTAGGGTTGTGCTGACATACTGACAGGTAACTCACAGTTACTTGGGGGTAAATACAATTGACCTTTAGAGTGTGCAATTCTGAGTAGCTACGCCTAGGATTCTGCTGTTAGAAACCCTACTGATTTTGAAGGATTTCATGTATCACTTAGATGTACTGGCTTCCTCATTTGTGCAGTTCTGTTACTGCACTGAAAAGTTCAGGGCACATTGGGGTTTTGAATTAATCATATGAACAAGGAAGCCCCAAGTTATATCAAAATCATACTCTCCAAAATCTCAAGTACAGTTCTTTCCAAAACCTGCTACATGAAAAGCCACAAATTGGATCTGGGAGCGCCTGCACGCAAAACTGGATCTGTACTCCAACACTCAGCAATAGCCTCACCACAAATATTCAGCCGCTGGAGTAACATTAACATCACATCTCAAATTTTAGATGAACAGATTCTTCTGCATTCCAATGAGTGATCTAAAACTTTTATTTTACACCCAGTTTCCCCTATGACTATGTTGTCATCCAAGATCCAGAAGAAATGAAAGCTTCAAACTTATAGTGATTAAATTCACCTTAGACAGGTTTGCATGTTAGAAGCCCTGCTTCATGTGGAGGAGCTGGCAGCCTGGCCCTTTTCCATGCCAGCGGTGCCTCTCCAGGAAGCTGTAGTAATACTATGTGGACAAGGGCTTCTGACACTACCAGGGTGGTGTGGAAATGAGATATATTGCAGCAGATCCCATATTAAGCAAACACCAGAGGGAACTGAAAACACTTGGAAATAAACTGCTGTTACCTTTAGGTCCTACCCTGTACTCAGTGCAGAACTCCAAGCTGAAGCAGCCCTAATATTGATGGCTGTTCGGCTGCATATTGAATGCCTCCACTGTGGGAAAGCTCACATCCTCCCTAGGTAATTGGTTCCTGGGTAATTGCCATACTGCTCTCACAATAAGGAAGTTCTTCCTGATGTTCAGCATGGCTTCCTGTAAAATGAGCCCTTTATTCTGTGTGCTGCACTCTCAAATGATTGAGAAAGGGTCTTGGCCCTGCTCTGTTTGACAAGCTTTGAAGTACTTGAAGACTTCTATCATATTCCCTCTGAATCCTCTCTTTCCCAGGTTAAACATGCCCAGTTCTGTCAGTTTCTCCCCAGAAGACTTTGTTTCCAGTCTGTTATCATCTTTGTTACCCTCCTCTGAACCTTTTCCAGTTTTCATCTTTCTTAAACCTGGATGCCTAGAAATGGGCGCAGTACTCAAGGTCAGGCCCAAACAGCGCTGAGTAGTGGTAAAATTTGTACATCGCGTGATTTGGAAGTTATACTTCTATTAATGCAGCCTAAAATAGCACTTTTTGCAGCCACATCACATTGTTGATTCATATTCAGCTTGTGATCTACAAAAATTCTGAGATTCTTCCCAGTGGTTGTATTGGTGGGCTAAGTATCTCCCATCTTTTAACTCAAAATAGACCCATAATGAATTCTAAATAACAGCTCTCCTTTTGCAAACTTTTGCATTCCTTTCGTAATCCTGTTTGCTGAAGAAGTATAAATGGTAAAAGTTTGGAGCAGCATCTAGTGTTGTCACAGTGCTAGCACCAACGACACTGCAGAAACCGTCAGTAGTGCGATGGCACTAGTTCTTGCTAGGCATAGTCATTTGCTACCACATTTCAGTGGTGCAGGATGCCTTGAATTCCATTAGCAAATTGCCCCTTTTTCCTTTTTCCATCACTTGCTAATGACACTACACCAGGATTGGTTTGCACATCATTAGCACTAGTACTGGGAAAGCATTGGCTCTTTACAATTTCCTTAGAGAAGAGAAAGAGGAAGACATAGAAAAGTTGGAAAAAGAATCCTTTTGGATTACATTTCCCAAGGTTGACTGAACAATCTGAAACCCTTTGAACCTTTACTACCATGACCCAATGATGCAGAAGAGCCTACCGTTACAGTCCAGAAGGAAATACAACCATCTGCATGAGCAGAGACCAGTATGGGAATGTTCCGACGCCCCGCTTGTTCACCGCCTCCACTTTCTAATACACTGCATGGTATTCCTTTATTTTCCAAGGTAGGAGTATCTGGAAGTTTCATTTCTAGCACAAAATATAATTGATATCACATTCATGTTCATATTTCTCTTTCAAATTAACAGCTTGTTAGATCATATCATAGAACACATGGAATATATCTTCCTCAACGGCTTGCCACAGTGGGCCTTCTAAAAGGACACACATTGGCATGAAGCTCCGCATGACTGAGTGCTCATGTTACATGTTTAGCAGGCTTCATTTTCTGATTTGCTTGCACTATCAGAGGCTTAACTGGAACTGAAAATGGCACACATTGATAATAACAAGAAGAGCTTCTGAATTAAACTTCCTCTATTTTTGTTTTATCTTTGAATGAATAATCAGGATTTGAAGTCTGGAGGAGATGGATGAGTTTATACTGCAATGCAAGCTCATGGTGACCATAAAGGAACCAGATCTGGTGAATACTTGTGCATGAAGCACTTTGGGACTCCTAGTCTATGTATGAAAGATTGATTAATTTTAGTTACTATCTTTGATTTTAAAAAAGCCAGGAGAAATGAAAACACACAATCCAACCCTAGCAATTTCAGTTATAACTGTTAGTGTAAGCTTGAAAAGCAGGTTATTAAATGAACATTTCTTCAGAACCTGAGAGCTTCACTTACAATGGTTATCCTGACCCAGTCACTCACTTTATTTCTGAAAAACTGTTACCAATATTCCTTAAAATAGCTTTCTTAAGTATGATGTTAACAATTACAGATCATCTTCTAAAGTAACTCAGACTTCTTCACTTACCTGAAACAGCTGCCATACCACCAATTTCACTTTTAGTCCCTTCCTGAAATCAGACAATAGCATGTAACTTGAACCAGATACTTAGAAATTAGACACTATGCATACAGTTAAAAAACCCTTTTCAGAAAGAGTTATGAACTAGTATGAGGTATGAAATAGTCTCTGTGTCTATATTTTCTTGCTCCTTTCTTTGTGGTGCACATAAAAAACCCAATGGGAAACTATGGTTAATTAGGAATATATTAGTTTATTTGTGGCTTGCATGAAGGGAGAAGGGAAGCAACATGGTACACAACCAAAGTCTTCAAGCCTTAGCTTCTTCAGCCAAGATACAACTGTCCAAAGTCTCCCTGCTTATGTACACAAATTATTACTTTTGCTGTGTTTAAAGTAGCATAAGCAAATTGTTTCTATGCATGCGCCTCAGGTGGAAGAATCAAGTAAAGTTAAATGTCTGTTTTTAATACAAAGCTTTTTCAGCTGAACTGTAATTGTTCTTTTCTTTTGCTCATATACACAATGGCTGTGTTCACATATGATGACAAGCCATGGTGGGAATGGCCTGTCATTAGGTGTGAATACTGGAAGCGTGGTGAAACATGGCATGTTTTATTTATTTATTTATTTTATTACAACATTTCTATGCCGCCCCTTGCCGAAGCCTCGGGGCGGCTTACAACACAATGAAATACAATAAAATACAAAAATAACAATATAAAATTAAAATTAACAATATAAAATAAATAAAAGCTATAAAAGAAGTTATAAAAGAAGTCGCCATGAATCAGAATGAAATCAGAATGTTGCCATGAATCACCACAGCGAACCAACACCTTGCTTTAAAGCTTCCATATTTCCACATTGCCTTGCGTTTCATGAGAAGTTGGTTACAAGACTTTTCCTGTTTCGGCCAGCGAGCTTGGATGCAAGATGGCTCCAGCCTCCATTTTCCTCTGCCCTGTTCACCTAGCAACGGCTGCGTTGCCGGCAGACAAGGTGCTGATTGGCGGCGGCTGCACTCTCTGTCCTCCCTCTCAGCAAGTGCTCCCTGATGCCTGACTGCTGCGTTGCCACCATGTCTGCTGCCTGCCCAACTGCCCGTCCCATGTGCCTCCTGGCCAATCACCTGCCTCACACGCCACCTGGCCAGGCCTCTGCGCTGTTGTCTCAGGAGCGTGAGGCTTGTTGGATGGAGACATGTCCTTAAGGTCAGTTGCCCAGATGGCATGTGGGCAGTTGGCCAGGTGGCATGTGCGATGTGCCATTAGGCAGGCGATTGACATGGAGACAGCACGGTGGCCAGGCATCGGGGAGGATGCTCTGGGAGGGAGGACAGGAAGCACCTGCAGCAGCAACCATGGGCCAGCTGTGCATGCTCCTTCTGCCTGATCACTGCACCAGAGGCTCCATCATGCTCCTCTGATGAGTGCTTGGGGCTTCATGGAGCAGCAGGAGAAAAAGGTGGAAACCAGCTGAGAACATGCCCAGGGAAGCGTGTGGGCCGATGAGGGAGAGGCAGGTAATGCAGGCAGGAGTAGTGCAAGCTGGATTGGTTCCCAGCCACAGGGGCTGATGGGATCTATGCCACCATTTGGGAGTCAGATGGAGGCACATGGAGACTACTAATGAGTAGTTACTTTGTGAATGCATGACTACAGATCCCAAGGTAAGAAAGGTAACCTCACAATATTCTTTAACATTATGTGTGAACAGACCCAATGTTTGAAGCAGTACCTCCAGCAGGGATGGAATACCTCTGGTCTCCCAGCTCCCATCAGCCCCAGCTAGCCTAGCCAAGGTAATGACGGGAGTTGTCATCCCACAACATTTAAAGAGCAACATGGTCCCCATACCAGGTCTACAGTGGTATGTCCAATTGTTTAGGGATGTGTTTGGCAGAATGAAAATAACTGAGAAAAAGTTGCGAAGTGCAACAATAGAGCTCTCCAAACCCATTGCTGGGCAATTGCTTTATTCCAGCAATGGTCCCATTTGGCCCACCAGCTTCTCTCCTAGGACCCTCTCAATGGCCAGTGCTGGAGCAATGGCCAGCTTTTCCCTACCACTGACAAGAGGAACCCCATTTCTATCTCCAGTCCGTTTGGAGCAATCCAGCCCCAAAGCTGGACCAATTTCCCATCCCTGCTTTATTTGGATCAAGCAAATACTGTAATCAATAATTAGCAAGTTCTGAATTTCCCCAGAACTTTTCATCAGGCTGGACATTAAGCAAAATTCTGGGGATCTTGGAATGCAGAAAGAGAGAACAGCTCACATGGGGTTGAAGCCACAATGTCTACATTTAGTCAGAGGCTTAATATGGACATAATGCTAAGCTGTGGTTTAATATTACATACCTGAGCCCTGAGCTCATGCACTCTACTTCTCGAAACTGAGTTTTCATTTTCACCTAACCATAATTTGTTCTTAAGTGCAAACCCAGAACAGTAATTACTCTTATCTGTGGCTTACAGCACTGTTTCCCAAATTGTGTTCTGCAGAACCCTGGAGTTCTACATGATAGAAATAGGGCTTCTGTGATAAAATTTGATCCTCTAAAATATTAAATATGAAATGATGTATGTATCAGAATACTTAACTGAATAGTATTGAAATTGTAGAGGCTATATGATGTGGCTCTTATGAAACCTCACTAGCTCCTGAGAGGTGGCACCAACGAGGGAGACGGAACAAACTGCACCCACCTCAGGCCGCCAGGGGTGACCCTGAGAACACATGGCCTTATTAGAGTGAAACATCCGCATCACACAGCACTCGGGATGAAGAACCACAAAGAAGAGGGTCTGGAGCGAGGCCTTTCTTCAATAGGTTGCAGCTACCAGAAGACAGGCGTTTCCAGAAACAAAACCACAAAACCCAATCCAACAACTTGGGTAGAGTGCTAGGCAATTTTTTAAGGCTGTAGGCTATGCAAATTTATTTTTAAGGCACTAGGCTTTGTAAATTAATTTTAAGCCTCTACTCTGCACATTTAGTTTTGAGGTTTGGGTACAGCTGTAGGCTCTATAAGTTAATTTGCAAGGCTAGGATTAGGGTTATGGTTAACAGAACTTCTAAGCTCTGTTAGTTAAGCTCTGGATAAGGAAGAACCCACCCTCACCTTTATTTTGGAGGTACTACTTAATCCTCAGACCAGCATTTATGGATTCCATTACTATATTTCAAGCCCAGAAGTGTTCTGTGGTTAAATCATGTTGGGAAACACCAGCTTACAGAAAAAAGCCAGGATCAAAACTATTATTATGATGTTGGCTTGTTTCCTTATGCCATAGTTAAGATTAACCATAAGCACATTGACAAACTGTAGTTAGCTGAAACCATAAGCAGAAACTTTAGATCTTGCCAGGAAGAATATGGGAGAGAGCGGCTATATAGAAATATGTGTGCAAATTCAGATAAACTTTCTTGGCTGCTATACAAACCAAAAAAAGAGCATACCGTTTTTAGCACGATGGTGCTACCTTCTACATCCTGTGAAGGAGTTTCATCACTCTGAGGATCTGAACAGTATGTGGAAGACTCACTATACTGCCTGCAGGGGAGACAGAGTCCAGGAAAATAGGAAATGAAAGGATTCAAAGCACATGTCTAAAGAAAAGACTGATCAATATGGAGGCTGCATCCTGTTTTCAGTAAATCTGCAATGAGGGCCTCCTCATTATTATTACATTTTATGCAACCCTGTAGCCCATAGGGCTCTAGAGCTAGTGGCAGATTTCCTCTAACTTTAAATGTTATGATGAATGGCAAATATTCTAGCAGTAAAGCCACTGTTGTCACCTAGTGCAATTTGAACAGCACCAGTATCAACCTGAGAGCTATACCAACGGGTTCTAAATTAAGCTTGCTGGTTATTGATTCTTCTGCCCACGTACCTTTCCTAGCAGGAACATAGAGAGTTGCCTTATACCAAGTCAGACAATAGTTCCACCCACCCAGTACTGTCCACTTTAATAGATAGCAGCTTCCCAGGCAGAGGTTGCCGCATCTCTTGCTACTGGATCCTTTGAAGTGGAGATGCCAGGGACTGAAAATGATGCCTTTTGCATGCAAAACACACAGTCTTAGACTGAGCTATCAGACTGTCTAGAGCGCCGACACAACGTGATGCTTCTTTTCAATCAATACCAGTGATGGATTTTCTCAATTCTGTTAAATAAATAGTGTCAGGACATCTGAGCCTACACTACTTCTGCACAGCACATATTTTGCAAGAAGGTCCTGAATACAGTCTTTGGCATTTCAAATTAGTGGGAGGGCTCTCGTGTGAGCTGAACCTCTTCCAGCCAAAGGGCTGAATTCCATTTAGAGGCTGCACTGGGGACACTGGACACCAATTAGTTATTCAAGTGCAGCTAGTGTTATCTTAGTCTGGAGAAACATTCCTCAGCTTTATCAAAGGCAAAGTGGCTGCTTACTTTTTCATAAACCAGAGTAGGCTAAATATGGTGCACATGGGCTTGCTATATAGTTTACCTACCTATCAGAAATGGAACTTCGATAGAGGAACAATAATGCATTGATTCCAAGTAATTCGGGACCAACAGGGTTGCCGGTTTTGAAACTGGAAAGAAAGAAGTTTTGCCTTTAACTATTTGTAAGTGTTTGGTGATTTGCTACAGCATAAGAACATAAGAAAAGCCATGCTGGATTAGAGCAAAGGCGCATCCATTCCATACACACTTACAAACCAGCTGCTCATGGGATCCCTCAGGCAGGTTGGGTGCCAGACCTCTGCCTGTCCAAGCTCCTCAGCAACTGGTCTATGCAGTAAAGGAGATGGTATATAGCCAGCAAGGCTAGTAGCCATTGATAGCCTCTTCTCTCCCGAATGTGTCCAATCCCTTTTTAAAGCCATCCAGATTCCTTAGCCACTTTCTTTCTTTTCATATATTTTAAGAATTCTTTGTTAGCCTTGATATTGTTAGCAATGTGCTCCTCAAACTGTTTCTTTCAGACACATCTGTCAGCCAAGTAAAGGTTCCCTTCCTCGTGACACACTTAAAAGGCTCTTGCAGGTCAATCTGGTATCCCAAATTCATGCAGCAACAATTTGAAAACAAAACCAAGCAAGCAGCTTGACACGAAAGGCTCATGGACTGTCATAGCAGAACTGTAGCACAGATAAGCAGCAAGACTGAATCGATGCTTTTAAAACCACAGCTACAATTCATTGATTATATCTAAACAGATATAAGTTTTCACATTCTTCATTGTTCAAATATATTATAGCACATAGGAAAATGCTTATATTGTAAATCCTTAATGAACCCAGTAAAATCTCTCTAAATCAGGGGTGGGGAATTGTTTACAGCACAAAGGCCAAATTCTAATTTGGATGAAGTATTGGAGACATTGGCTTCCTGCCAGGGGGTGAGGAAGGCCAAATGAGCATCAATGTTAAGCCTACTAAGGTGGTGTGTGTGCGCACGCCAAAACCATTTTTAAAGCCTTTTTGTTCTTTCTCAGTACCTGCAGGGGGCAGAGTGAGGTATAAAATTGGTCCCTGGAGGTAAAAGCTCTTATTTCTGAGCAACCACTAACTGGAGAAGAAGTTTCTATCAGGAGAGGGGGCTTAGGGTTTGGTGAAGAAGCTGAAGGGCTGGATGGGGAACCTCCCATGGGAAGTGTGTTTGTTTTGTACTGCTGCAAATCCCTGGCTTGCTGATAACACTGTCTTGTGAATAGGGATGTCATTTAGGATCCACACTTGTAGAATTAGTTTACTGTTAGTATATAATGGAAGCTTTGTTCCGGAGAAAGCAAGATCTGGCTTGGGGGCATTTCTGTTTCAAGACAAGGCATTTCCTTGCTGACCCTATTGGTCCATTCCCCCTTGAAGAAGAGGGTTTGTAAGGATTAGTGCTTTCCCAATCAAGAGGCTGGTGTAATGATGGAGAAAAGGATATTGCCACTTCCATAGTAGGGAATGTAGCCTAGCATTTTCAAAAGGGTTCTCAGCTGAAGACTAGAAGCAGGGTGGAAGAAAAGGCCAAGGAACTCTCTTTGAAATCTTCTTTGTTTGTCTAGGGATCTTTTGAGGAGGGGAGCAATGAAGCAGCAAAGGGTGTGTTGATGCAGGACTGTGGTTCCAGGACAAACAGTGTCACTGTGACGTCAACTCAGGTAGAGGTGGAGAATTGCCGTGTCTTCTGCCTCTAGTGCAGAATGCTGAGCTGTCCCCTCGGGAGCTCTGTCTCTGAACCTGTGAGCCAGAAAAGGCTGCCAAAGCAAGAGTTTTGTCCTGCTTCGTGACACAGCACCAGCTGAACACGCTGTCCTGTTTCTTGTGCTGTGGCAGAATTAGCTCACTGCAGATGAGTGAGAAATTTGTTTGGTTCTCATGTCAGGCAGAGCTGAACGCATTTGAACTTTGAACACATTTGAACTTCCCAAACCAAAACAAGTCAGGATGCATTGAAACCTTGAAATATGTGCTTCCAACATTTATGGGAATCGGCTGTCCAGGAAAGAGGAAATGAGTAGGTATGTGAAGTTAGGGGTGAGCCGCCAGAGATGCAGGGAGCTAATAGCTCAGTGAAAAGTTTCCCATCTCATCTTTGTTATAGCTTCACAGAGACAAGCAAATCTGGCAGCTTGTGTTCTCCCACATTTGATTATTTAAACCTCTAATTTCTTTCCCAACTTGAATAAAAAGAATTGTGCCAATTTTTGTAAATTTTATTGAAAATGAGCTGAAATAAAATGCTCACTCATTGCTAGTCCTCAGACCAAAGCAGTTGCCCCCAGCTCCAATGTACATTATGCATCTCAGCAAGTTTCTTTCAAGCCAAGCACTGACAAGGTGCCAATGTGAGCAGCAACAGAAGCTCCGTCAGAGGCCTTCCCACAATACGTTGAGTTATTCCCTGCTTTATACAGGCTGAGACTAGGAAAGGACATCTCCTAAAGTCAAGCTGGACTTTATGCAGGCTCTCTTTTGCCCCACGGTTGAGTCCCTACCTCAGATTGCAAATCATTATCCATTTAGTCCACCCAAAAATGCATATATATTTCATGAACATTTTTGGAAAATACACCCATTTCTGCGTGCATTTTTAAATAGACACATTTTGTGTACTTTTTTCCAATGTGTGCATTTTATCCAGCATTTCATCCATTGAATAAAGCTTTTTTCTGCACATTTTCCAAAATACACACATGTGTACAATTGCAAATGTAGCCAGTTTTTGAGCATATTTTTTCAAATGTGTAATGCACACCTTTATTTGCTAATTGCATGACAAACCATTTCCCTGGATTCCCATGAACATTGTACTTCCACTTCGTTATCTTTTGATCTATGGTGCCTGCTAGGCATGAGCATCTTCGTGTCCTTTGTTACTCACAGGTGTCTGGCAGTAGCAGCTTCAAAATCCCACAAGATGATTGCACCATTTGCACTTGCAGTAGCTAACAAATTGTAGCCTTCCACTCTGAGCAAATCAAAACACTTCACTTCTATCCCAGGAGGTAACTGAAAGACGCATCAAACAAGATTATTACTGAACTGGGGGAATGCACTCTGATTAAATGTTCTATTGTTAATATTACTTCTACTATGATTAGTATAAAGCACTTTGGAACAATGTCACGACTTACATTTTTCTAAAAACAACAACCTGTCCATAGGGTCACAGGGATAAGAATGACCCACTTTGACCTCTTAAATCATTATTTCAAATTATACTACTATAAGTGGATACAATTATTGTGGATTTAAACATGGACATATCCTATAAACAAGTAAGGGTGTCACAGCATGACATGAAACAGCCATTTCTCCCACTCTCAAAAAAGAAAATCCTTAACATTTGGCGTAGAGGAACATTTGGAATGTTTTTCTGCTTCATTCCTGATGATGTAAGATCCTGGCTATACATTATGCTCATCACATGAGAGATAGCCACATATCTGCCAGATTGCTGGAAACAGAGGAAAGGAGCTGGTAGTTCTAAAGCTGTTGCCTGACTTTCACGATTTAACTCTCCTCTCCTCGATCATTAGCAGTTGCTTGCCCCATGGAAATTGGGAGACAGAGATGAAAGGGCAATAAGCTGTCAATGAAAGATTAGTGATCTTAGATGTACAACTGATGGAAAAAGGCAGGCAAACGTTCTACAGGCCCCTCTAGCTTTCTTTGCCTATAGCCACAGAGATTTCTCAACAGTAAGTGCTTAACTTACATGGTTCCTTCTGATGTAGTTATGTTTTGGGGTAATCTATAGCCAGGCTCTAGGAAACTTGTTAGAATTCTTTTTTTTTTTTTTGCCATAGCTGTTACAAGTTCTGAAAATGCAATGGATCCTCACCTGTTCATTTCGTTGCTCAGGATCCTTAGGCAACAGCTGAACATCTGGATAAAATCCATTATTTTTCTTGACATTAAGGCTCAATCGTAGGGACATGACTGAATTACCTTGTAGAGCATGTGACAAAGCTTCAGGAAGACTCCACGTAACACTTAGGTAAATTTCACCCTCATTACTCTAGAAGAGCAAAGATTCAGAGAGAGGTAGCTCATAAATATGACAATTAATTCAACATAATTTTTCAAAACCAACGTTTTTGGGGAGATTCCACCTCTCTAGCTCAGTGTTCATTTTGGGCAGACACTTTGGGTATCGCGGCCATGTTGGCAGCAGAACCTTTTGTCCAGTATTGGAAGCAAATAATATAAATTGCAGCTTCAGTGTTAGTTGACATATCTCAGCAGTCCCCACACAATCTCCTGCCGGGAGCATGGGCTATACTCACATAATGGCACCTGTGTGTGAGTTGTCATCTCCATCATTTCCACAATGGCAGTGACTGCAAAAAGTGCTGCCGCTCTCACTGCGGACGTGAGTGTGCCCCCATGTAGAAGTGTGCACAAACTGTGTTTCCAGATGAGCATGTACCTGCTGAGGTTCTGTCAGTGACCCCTAGTGATGGCCACCATTAACAAAGGGCTCCTAATCTTTGGCCAGCATAAGTAGGAATTGATAATGAGCAAGTATGTGAGATGTTGAATGCATGGTACCTGCAAGGGTAAGGTCTACCAGGAAACTCTGAGCTGAATATGGCCCTTCTGCTATAATAAATTAGACCACTAATTTCCACACTTTCTAACAGAAAGTATTTGAAATGAATGATTCGGGTAAAAACTTATTTGATAAAAAGCACTTGTCGGAGGCTTGGGTTTTCTGAGATGTCTTAAACTGCACACGCACCCACCCACCAAAAGCCTGCTCTGTGTTATTGGAATCATACCATGCAAGATGTTAGAAGATATACTTCTAGATGTGCCACCTTGTGATTTTTCCCTATTGGGTGCTTCTAAGACCTTCTGATCTCAATTTTAAAATAGCTGCTAGAAAGTCAGTGTCTCTTTATATATAATTTTTGACAAGATGTGATGAACATAGTAACCAGTTTTAAAATCTTCTGGAAACTTTTTGTGATTTATTGATCCTAGCTGCTTATAGAAATAACTGTTACTAGCTGAACAGTCCTAATCAGAACCATTCTTTTCCTCTCACCAGCAACAGAGACCCCAATTCTGCTTTTGGTTTAAGACAAAAAGCAAGGATACAAGGTTCAGGTATGTGGACAATGTTTGATGTCTCCAAGTAACACAATATGAAGTATTGCCCAATACCAGCCTTGCCCAATCTGGTTTCCTCCAGGTGCATTGGACTGCACAGCTGGGAATTATGGCATCAGAGTCCAAAGCACTGGGAGGGTGCTAGGTTGGGGGAAACGATATGGCACAATATTAAGAACTCAGTGGTATAGACAGATAATCAGCCATCTATTTACAAGCCCCACTATGTGTGTGTCTAGCTTCTTTAAAGATCATTTGACTGTCTGGATTCAGAACAAAAGGAACCAAACAGAAAATGGAATGTGAAAACCTGGACAAGTTTGATCATCCCACTGTACTCCAAGACCAAGATCACGTGTTTGCTCTCACTGGCCTTCAGGTAAACCATTTGGAGCACCCAGTGTTCGTTATCTTTGCTTTCCTTGGGCAATGGCAAAACTTTAAGTTCCTGCCCAGTTCCAAAATCCCATGTCTTCACAGTCCCTGAAAGTGCAACAAAGCAGAAGGAGAGTCAAGCTTCCTGGGCTCAAGGACAAACACAAGGCCGACGCAAAAACAAAAAGGCTGAGATGTGACTGTAAGAAAGAGCACGCGTATTCATTCCACATCAACGGCCCAAGACTGAATTGGTGCCTCTCATGTGGCATAATTCGTGTATTATGAGTTTGGTGAAAATATTTGTTTTAGGCGCAAGCCCCTCTTAAAGCACCTTCCCAAATAGAATGTGAACTTTCAGCTTCAAATATTGGTAAGAACCAACTATAATGGCAACAAGGAAAGAAATAGTGATCTGGTAGGAATAGGCCTTTCCCAAATGCTTTCACCAGCAAGGAAAAAATAGTAACTTTGTGGGACAGTTTAGAATGGGACAAAGTTTGGGAGACAAAGAATTAAACTGCTCTTTCTTCACCAGTCAATTCATCCCCACAAGCTCTTAAGAGCAAGCAATCAAGGCACAATCCTGTGCAAGATCAGACATGAAAAAGTCTAACATTCCCAGATCCAGTATGTCTGGCTGGGAAATGTTGGGAGTTGTTGGACTTTTTATGTCCAAATATGCATAGCATTGTGCCTTAAAGGTATTTTTAACTTAGACTTCATCCTAAAACATCAGGGTGGTGTACAAAGGGCTTTCAAACCAAGATAAGCCACAAAATTAAGCATTTTCAACAAAAACAAATCAGAAATATAAAACACATGAAGTCGTATCAGGAGATCTGATCACAGATTAGCCAAATCTTGTTCAGCTTAGCCATTAGGGAAAGTCTAGATTAGAATGCTTCTCCCCAGAATCTAGTTTTCTAAGTGCAGCAAGTATTTAAAATGGGAGGACATCAAATCATGGTATAGGAACTGGCAGAAATCAGAAAGACTTTTACCATTTCCTCTGCTTCTGGTCCATCCTATCTTCCCACTGAGGCAAGAAGCCACTGACCGACTGCCCTCCTGGCAAAGGGGAGCTAGCCAGAAATTTCACAAGACTTTAGTTGCCTTCTTGCCAGATTTTGAGTTGGCCTTTTGGGCACATGCCAGGAGGGCAGGGAGCTGTCCCAGAAGGCCCCACCAGCTGCTCTATCACTGCTGCGAATGCCAAGGTGGGGAAAATGGCTGGCAAGACTCCCAAGAGCACTCACTGGTGATGGCAGGTGCTGCTGGTAGGCACTGAACATGGTCTAATTTGCCATTGAATTGCTGCTTGAATTGTTGCCTCGGTATGTTTAATAGGCAGGCCAGCCTCAGATACATATATCTGTAATCCCATCTTAGATGAACACAGTAGAATTTACTGTGTCAGAGGGTGTATGGGCAAAACAACTTTCAAACTACTATCCTAAGATCTGCCATTTTTCTGTAAGAATGACTTCAGAGAAATGCTCCCATTCTGAGACCAACAGAGAAAATAAAGTGATCACCTCAGGAATGTAGCTCTTCAAGTCATGGCATACACAGAGCAGCCTCCAGGGTTATCCCTGTGCTACCCCCGCCCCATCTTGCATTGTGTGGCAAGGTTTTGGTGCCACACTTACTGGGAACCTCTGCTTCTGGTTGGGGACCATAGACATGGGCACAATTTCTGACAGCAACCAGCTTTGTAAGGTCACTTACGAAGCAGCCCTCAGCTGGCCTTCAGCATGAAGAAGACTACTGAGTACAACTAAGTAGCCTCACAACCTTCATTACCAGTGGAGGGATTATTGTAAAGAGAGGTGTTGCTATAGCCACTGATTAGTTCAATCTTTTACCATCGCATGCTCCAGAGGCAAGGTGAAATCCGTTCTTATCAATTGCTGCACACGTCAGCTCAACATTAGGCCCATGGGCATCCTCAATCTGGTATATTAGTTGCCCTGATTCCAGTTCCCAGACCTAAGAATAAATCATATGCAATTCAACCGAAACACACACACACACACAGGGAGGGAGGGAGAATAAACCAGCCAGAGAGCTTACTGTTAGGCAGTCCAGAAATGAAATAAATAAATTATATATGGGAGGTGGTAGTCTAAAACTGAGACACAGTTGTCACTTCCTTTAAATTTCCTTGGCAAACATTATGTCAAAGGAGTCATCTATTCTTTATGATTTACCAATTGGTAGGATGGGGAAGCCCCCAATACAGATTTTTAAAGTGCTGGAGTACATAATAATACATCAAATTGCTCTTATTTAATTTGAGCAAAATAAATCGGCTTTGCATTTGAAAGGCTAAAAGGATCTATACCCACCTTTATAATAGACTCGGAACAGATAGTAAGAATTTGGCGAAAGGCTTTGTTGTAAACGAGCACATTGATACTCCTCTCATGTGTCTGAGGGACCTGCTTAGTGTCTTGTATCATACGCGTTAGAGGATAAACATCAATGACAGCTGAACCTGTGCGTCATGTAATATAGACAATTGCATAACATTGATTACGAACATGTTTAAATACATATATTTTATTTTTGGTCTAATTAAATTGCTGACATAGTGTTTGCTTTTAGAACCCGCTCTCTCTTTCCTCTACCTAAAACAAAGCAAGCAAGCCAACAGCCTGCACATCATGTTACAGGACGAACTAGAATTCAGACTGATATGAGAGGAGAACATGTAGGTGAGTTCAAGAACACTTCCCAGTGAAGACTTTGATAGAGATCTGGCTGAGTGTATATATATGAGATTCGCAAACCATGTAGGAGCTAGACTGATTCCTGTTACCATCAATAAATCATGGAATATGCACACTTGGTGTGCATGATGCAGTGAAATTAATGTGAAAACATAGCACAATTGGGCCAAACCCAGACAACTTTCTGCCTTTATTGCTCGATTCTGTTTCCAGTATTCCAGGCTCAGCATTAAACTGTGCAACAAATCATAAGGGAAACCTTCTAGATGCAGTCATAGCACTAACTGTGAAGGTGAAATGCTCATCCTCTTGTAAATATTTGTTTATAGTGTTAAGGTTATCAGAGCAGATTAGAAAAGGAAGCTTCTTGTGTAAATAATGTCAGATACTGCAGTGTTTAACTATCTGGTCAATTCTTAATTGCTCATATTTCCCAAAAAATACCTTCTTCTTTTTGATTAATCACAACTCATGCTCCTTTTCCAAGCAACTGTCTGATGTACAGCTAATTAACAGGATCACAATTTTAAGCAATCAATTTCATATTGAGTTTTGGAGTAAGATGAAAAAGATCTGCCACCCAAATAACCACTACATTTACTTGTAGGTTGCATTAGTTCAAGGGAATATATTTCCACATACTTCCACCCATAGGAAAGCAATATGAGTGAACAAGATGTAGACCAGTGCAAGGACAAAAATAGACTTTTTTTTTGGTTCTGTTTAATTCTCAAAGGTAGAAGATGGAATCACTTTCATTCTTAAAGCTACTTGCTTGTTTTCCTCAACTTCCTTTGTGTATTCTTGCTCTGAACAACTAATTCCATTGGATGATTTGGTATTTATTTTCTGAATTTCTCTATTGCCATCTTTTTGCATTTAGACAGGACATACATTTATCACCCACAACTTAGTGAAGCGAACCTGTAATCAGTGTGCCATGGTTATTGTCAAAGATCATTGCAAAGATTTGTGTCTCTCGAGGTCCTCCTTGGGTGTCATGGAAGACTTGCAGCAGTGATAGTGTCTGGATATCCCATACTCTGAAAATCTGAAAAAATTACAAACAGGTCATCTTTACGTAACTCACTACATACCGTAACAATGTGGACAGACAAGAAATGCATGTGAGTGGCACTCTCTCCAATCCCCCATGGAACAGAGACATACAAGCTAGTTTTACAACTGCAACTTGTCCACCTCACCACCATTTTTACTCCTCACATCATATTGCTTAGAATTGTTATACACTATCATTATGTCTTTTTAGGAGATAATGTTCAATATCCCGATGTTCTGCCAAGGAGTCCTGTGGATAACCATTTTATCCTGTTAACGTGAAATGAGCTTCATGGCCAAAAGGTAATTTAGACCCAGATCTCCATACTCGAGGTCCAGCACTAACAACTGTAGTACACTGGCTCTTTTGTGTTAAATTAAAACTGTGATAGGAATTAGAACTTGTATGCATTTTCTTTCCTCCTGATTCACTGCAATTCGCAAAGTCACTTTGTATTTCTGTTTGTCTATTATATAAGTCTACATGTCAGAATCTTTCATTTAGGGGTTCAGAGGGGAAACACAGACCTTTGTGTTAAGCACACCACTGGCAGGAACACTTGACTTTATGTGATAAGGAAGAACAGCGTTCTTTACTTACACCTTATGGACAAATGGATCATACTACAGCTAACATTTGATATCTATCGCATTGTAAACATTGCATTGCAACTGTTGTGCAAACCTTACTGATATTCCTTTGCAAGAAGAAAATATCAAAGCAGCTTACTGAGGTTTTAAAAAAATACTTTATCACATTTTACTTGTGATCAAGAGTAAGCAAAACTAGACTACTTTTCTATTAGAAGAAAGACATTTACATTGCTACCTGTTTGTTCCAGTATGTCTAAAATCTAAGAAGACATGAGTAAATATAGAACATAAGGTTCCAAGAAAAGATTATGCGGCTTGCAACTTTCATGACATCACAACTTGAAAAACAGACAACTACAAGTAATTTCAAAACATAGACCTAAACATTTCCGTTTCTGCCCTCATCAGTAGCTTTGAAATTGATACCAACAGTGGCAGTTTGGAATACTGGGAAATTACATTCCTAGGGAGAAAAAATGGTATACAGCACATTTTCCCCTCTGGATTAAGGCCATATGGACTAAAAGGGCTGAGTCCATACATCCAGTTGTCCTTTCAGGCAAATATGTCCCTATCAGCTGGAAGCAACTGTAAATCTGAAAGCCTTTGTGCAGGTAAGATTTTTGTTTTTGTAAGAATTGTGATTATGACAACTTGTTCTTAGGTCCATTCTAGTTTTTCTGTAAGTTGCATGCAACATTCCTTTTTGATGAATTGCATTACTGGGAGCGCATGCTACTGATTGTCTGATGTGATTTTTGTTAGCAACTGTGCTCCTCAGAGTGATTTCCTGCAGGTAACTGCAGGAAATATATGTTGATTTGCACTGGTATGATCTTGGGTCGAAAATACCTTGTTTAAATGCTGCTTTGACTCACAGTTCACTCAAACTGGATTGCTTTCTCAGTGCAATGCATGGTGAAGAATTCATGGCTTCCATTAAGTGAGCTCAATGCAAGATAATATGGTAGCTATCTTTCATTATCTGGTGGTAATTAGTGGCAGATGGAATGTGCCATTCTTTCAAAGACTGAGCCTTTGCTTCATCCCAGGAGGCTACCAATGTATAATTGATATTGCAGTCGATAATGTGACTAAGGTTTCTGCATTGTTGGAGATGTTCTTTTTGATGCAATATCCCTGGGAAATGTGTGACTCAGAAGGTAGCTTTCTACTGGTATTTGCACTTTCTAAATGCGCTCAAAGTGGCCCTTTGCTCCAACAGAAAATAGCTAGAGGGAAAAAATCTGGAAAATAGCCATAATAGAAGCAGTTTGCTCCCTCTTTCGATGCCTGTCCCTTACTCCCCATGTGAGAGAAGGAAGATGCTGGAGAAGGAGGTCCCCTACTCAGAGGTCAACAAGCTCAAGTATGTTCCAATTTTTGTCACCACACATGTGGGGAGTGGGGCAAGCAAAACCAAAAACTCAAGTGGGAAAAGCCACATTCTATGGGTCCTGCAGGCTCAGGGTATAATTCCCTTCCCTTTTTCTTACGTGATGGTTCAAAATCATTCTCCTTCTGAGATAACCTGTAGTGAGGGAAGGAGTGGAATATGTAAAGAAGAACAACACCTCATGCACATCAAACCTTGTGCATGTAATGCAAGGGAATATTATTTATGTATTCAATATAGTTCTATTTTTCATCTGAAACCTTTCTGAGCTAATTTACAAAACAAAGAATACAATGAGCTAAAACAAACAAACAAAACCCTCTTAAAGCAACAAAAGCAGCAGCAGCAGCTGAAATAGGAATCTGGATTTAAATCTGCCAAATCCCCTCTGTTCTTCAAGATGCCTGGTTATCTGGATTGAAATGTTACTAAGCTGCTGATACTTAGCTTTACCTCATGTTCCTTCCTAATGTCTTCTCCCAGGTTGTGGAGCGCTCGACCATGGGAGTGGAAAAGTGGAAGCTGCCAGCACACCAAACCTGGGACTGTGGCTGGGGAAATCCGCTGATCTACCAGCTTAGGTTGCCTCACCTGCTGCAGCTTTCTCTGGAGAAAGAGGATCAGGCTCCAGCCCAAACTAGGCTACTGTGATGCCCTCTTTGTGGGGCTGCTTGCCACAGGTTTTAGATGGCATTGCAAAGCCCTCCTTCCAAATTTTCAGGGTCCGTCTGAATCCCGTGATACCAGTGGAAGCAGAGTTGGTCACACTGGTTGGAGTTTCTTTCATCAGCTCAGACTGCTAAGCTGTCTAGAGAGAATGGGCCTGGCATCGGTTAACCATGTGTCAGTGACTTTAGTGTACTGGGCTCTGTGTGGGGCTGCCTTTGAAGATGGTTCAGAAACTTCAGCTGCTGCAACATGTGGTGACCTGGAAGTTGATGGGGATGGGCTGATCAGAGCATGTGACTCCAATATTGTATCAGCTGAAGTGCCTCCTGGCACATTCTAAAACCAATTCAACATGCTGGGTTTGATCTTTAAAGCCCTAATAAGTTTGGGACCAGCTTATTTGAAGGCTTGCTTCTATAGCAACATGCCACAATGCAAGAGTAATGTGCTGGCCTTACTCGTGAGCCAACAGTGAAAGCAATTTGTTTAGCAGGTACAGCAGGCAGGGCCTTTTCCTCATTGGCCCCACTTTTAGGAAACCCTATTCCAATAGGGGTCCTTAAGGTCCTGTCAACACAACCGGCATGATATTGGTGTATCCCTGTGACAGCTGTGCTTTGTATCAATGAAACTTCTGGCCTGTACTTAAAAGCAGCCCTATGCAGAGAACATTACAGTAGCCTGGTTATAACTGAGGCCTAATTTCTTTCTTCTGATAAGGTTTCAGCTGGTAAGGTAGCCGAAGCTGGTGAAAGGCACCCATTTGCCTTCACGTGCGTGAACTGCCTTGATCTGAAGGTGCCTCGAAAATCAACATTAGTTTATATCTTCCTGTAAAAGCTGGTGTGGTTATTCTTTTCTTTTTTAGTCCACTGTTATGGTGGTGGTGCAGGTTCGCACAGTGTGGTTTTCTGGAAGTTTTGTGGCATGCCACATTATGATGCATGACTTAAAAACACCCTTCTGTCCGAAAAGCCTGCCCCGTGCCTGAAGAGGTGTTTCAAAGCAAAGAGCACATTTCATATGCAATTTATTAAATTACTAACATTCTGGGGACTTGTTGCCATAAATAGAGTTAATCTGATTGGAGTTTAAGGGCTCATACTGACAGCCAGATGGCCATCCAATTCCTTGATGGCTTCTTTGCATGAGCACATCTGCCATAAACTACCTGCTTCTGAGGTCTTGCTCCCTGCCTCCCAGGAGATTGGGAACTAGCCATGGCAGCGATGGGTGGCTGGCATCCTCACCAGCAGCGCCGCATCACCTCCTCCTTCCCCTGAATGACCAGCAGCACAAAACATGCTGTGACATCACCTCCATCCACTTCACTGGCTGGTGGGGAAGTCTGAGGGACCATGTCTTGCCACTGGTTTAAGAGGTATTAGACTGCAACTCCTATCAGCCCCAGCCCCACGAAAAAGGGTCAGGGATTTTGGGAGCTGTAGTAAAAAAATGTCTGGAGGGAACTAGTTTAGGGACTACATCAGGTATTACAAAGGTTCACAGAGCTTTTCTACATAAGGCAGTTAATCCGTATAACTACTTTTAATTTTGTCACAGATCCGAGCTATGCATACGGAGCTTTTCCTTTCCTGCTTTTATACCATGTATGTGAAAAATACCTGTGTGGTGCTTTGCTATAGCAGAATATCACAATTACAATTACTTCCCTAGTTTAAAAACACAAAAACAAAACATGGAGCTCTTAAAAAAGAAGTGAAATTGGAGGATTACAGCTTTGTCTAAACAACCCATAAACATTTTTTAGCCAGTTTCTTTGCCTACATGGTTTACTCATTGACTAAGTGTCATCATACCTATTAAAGGCAGCTTTCCCTAAAGCTCAGACTAGTTATTTATTAATTAATGTAGTCACTTGTTAAATCACATTTTTCTACCGAAGGTGCTCAGTCTGGCTATTTTGCATCCTCATGTTTAGATACCAAGCCAAAAATATTCCCCCTCAGGAAAACACATTAATGAATGCTTCTTAATGCATTCATTATGATGCATCACTCACAACAATGTCCATTCTCTCCAATGATATCTAACAACATGGTGAAATTAGATATTATAAAAGAAACACCACACTCATCAAATAAGAAGCTGAAAAACCCAGTGGATGCCAACAACAAGGTTAAAAACCAAACATTAAATTTGTCTCCTTGTTTCAAAATCTGTTAGCAACAATAAAACAGGTTAATTTTTTTCTGTGGAAACCCTGACATATAAACAATATATATTGTGTTATCTTATTGTCTTATTCATTCAAATGTATGTTCATATCTCTATAATATATAACAAATAATATATAGTTAATTTCTCATTTC